AGCTATTGCCAACATCGTCTATTATTGAAAAATTTCATATTATTTATCAAGCACAAATGGCTCGCGCAATTGGTATTGATTTAGGTACAACATATTCATGTGTTGGTGTATTTCAACATGGAAAAGTTGAAATTATTGCAAATGATCAAGGAAATCGTACAACACCATCATATGTTGCATTTACTGACAGTGAACGTTTAATTGGTGATGCAGCTAAAAAATCAAGTAGCAATGAATCCAAATAATACAGTTTTTGATGCTAAACGACTTATTGGTAGAAAATTTGATGAATCAACTGTACAATCTGATATGAAACATTGGCCATTTAAAGTCATTAGTGACAATGGAAAACCAAAAATTCAAGTTGAATATAAAAATGAAATTAAATCATTCACACCTGAAGAAATTTCATCCATGGTTTTAACAAAAATGAAAGAAATTGCTGAAGCTTATCTTGGAAGAAAAGTGTCAGATGCTGTTGTTACTGTTCCAGCTTATTTTAATGTTTCACAACGACAAGCAACAAAAGATGCTGGTATTATTGCTGGTCTTAATGTTTTACGAATCATAAATGAACCAACAGCAGCAGCTATTGCTTATGGTTTAGATAAAAAAAAAACAACTGGTGAAAAAAATGTTCTTATATTTGATTTAGGTGGTGGTACATTTGATGTATCTGTATTAGTTATTGATCAAGGTGTCTTTGAAGTTAAATCTACTGCTGGTGACACACATTTAGGTGGTGAAGATTTTGATAATCGAATGGTAACACATTTTATACAAGAATTTAAAAGAAAAAATAATAAAGATATATCTGAAAATAAACGTGCTCTTCGACGATTACGTACGGCATGTGAACGAGCAAAACGTACATTATCATCATCATCTCAAGCATCAATTGAAATCGATTCACTTTATGAAGGTATAGATTTTTATTCAACATTAACACGTGCTCGTTTTGAAGAATTATGTGTTGATTTATTTCGTTCAACACTTGAACCAGTTGAAAAAGCTTTACGTGATGCAAAAATGGATAAATCAAATATTCATGAAATTGTACTTGTTGGTGGTTCAACACGTATTCCAAAAGTACAAAAATTACTTCAAGATTTCTTTAATGGTAAAGAATTAAATAAATCAATTAATCCAGATGAAGCCGTTGCATATGGTGCAGCTGTTCAAGCAGCTATTTTAACCAATGATAAGTCAGACGAAATTAAAGAAGTACTATTAATTGATGTTACACCACTTTCACTCGGTATTGAAACAGCTGGTGATGTTATGACAACATTAATTAAACGTAGTTCAAGTATTCCAACACGACAAACACAAACATTTACAACATATTCAGATAATCAACCCGGTGTTGATATAAAAGTATTTGAAGGTGAACGTGCAATGACAAAAGATAATCATTTACTTGGAAATTTTGAACTTACTAAAATTCCACCAGCACCACGTGGTGTACCAAAAATTGAAGTTACATTTGATATTGATGCAAATGGTATATTAAATGTTTCAGCTGTTGAAAAATCATCTGGCCAAGAAAAGAAAATAACAATTAAAAATGATAATAGTCGATTATCAAAAGAAGAAATTGAAAAAATGATTTCTGATGCTGAAATATATATAAACGAAGATAAAATTCAACGTGAACGTATATCAGCAAAAAATTTACTTGAATCATATTGTTTTAGTATGAAAACAAGCGTTAATGATGAAAAAATGTCTTCAAAACTTTCATCTGATGATAAAAGAAAAATAAATGAAACAATTAATTCAACTTTAACATGGATGGAAACAAATCAATTAGCTGAAAAAGATGAATTTGAACATAAACTTAAAGAAATCGAAAAAATTTGTTCACCAATCATGACAAAACTTTATGATAGTGAAAGTAGTAGTATGCCAAATGGTAAAGGTCCAACCATCGAAGAAGTCGATTAAATAACGAACAAAAGTTTTTGATATAGTTTAATCATTTTTTTATATAGTAAATTTTCCAAATTATATTTTCTAATAAATAAAACATTTTATAGGAGAATGAAATATTCTCTAAGAAACAAAAAAAAAATTTCGATCAAACATGTTGTGATCATGTAAATGTGCGGACTTGTAGTAAGATTGTCCAACTAGAGCAACATTTTATTTAAACAACATTTAAGCAAAAAAAAAATAGAGAGTATTACGTGACCCTTTTTAGAGTTTCAAACAGTTATCAAAATATGATTACAATATGATACTAGAAATTATATTCTCTGAAAACTTTCAAGATAGAACAATATCTCGTTCAATATATTTACATTTTGATTTGAAATGATAATCAGATTTCCGTTCTCCGAAGACAATGAGAGTGAACCACTCTCGACAACACTGCAATATCGAGACGATCCTTGACAAAAATCCGAGTGCGTTCGGAGTGATCCGGATCAATGCTCAAAAAATTGTTTGAAAGACTCTGGCCCCGTTGGGATCAGTGCCGACTTTCAAGCTGAAGAAAATAGATACTACACTTTAATCTTAGCCGAAAAGATCGACAAGCGATAAATTCTCTATAGAACGAAATGCGTTTATATTCACACAGTAGTGTAGACTGTTTATACTTAAGTATATTATTCTGAACGAAAATACATTTCGAGCTAGCGTAGCTCAGTGGTGTATGTGAACAACCTCGGATCACTGATTCATCTGTTCAAATCTGATCGTCATCGTTTAAGGTAAGATTTAATTCATTTGCCAAGGTAGGCTAAGACCATCGAAAAGGATGATGATGGTGACTCAATTCGAATCTGAGATGGATTATCATGTATTTTTCAATATTTTTCAACTTTATAAGAAACGTCTCAAGACGCGTTTCGCACGCATATTGAACGCGTTTTGAGAAAAAAAATATTTACTCAGGTAGTAACATAATAGCTCTCTTTGTTCACTATTTTTGCTCGAGAGTGCTTCATACGCGAATTAAGAATATGGCTCGTTTCGGATTTTTCTGTTTAATTAATCAGAAATAACTTCGACAAGCGGTTAAACTTAGGTATGACATATATAACATTCAGTCTGTACTCTAAACAAATATGAGTAATTTTCTTTGAGTTTCTCGAATTAGAATATGTTCATAAACGATTATCTATTTCAATGAGAGTGTAATTATCGATAGACATTCTTAGGAAAAATTAATTAAATAAAATATCATTTAGAAGAATTCTACACAAACAAGAAATAGCAACTTAAATTATCAATTTCAAATAATAACAATGCTTGTTTCTTTTTGTCGAAACACCTAACATGACAGAGGGTGTGGGTGTGGGCGTGGGTATGGACCTTTTCTTCACACCAACACCCACACCCGTTTAGGAGATATAACGTTTTGAATTTTTGCAAAAAAACTTTTTTTAATGGAAAAATTCAGAACGTTATAACTCCTGAACGGATGTATATTTTTCGATGAAATTTGAAATCTGTCTATGAAATTCGATGTAGATTAAGACAAGGTTCTTAAAAAGCGAATACTACTAGATGCAAAAAAAATTGGAGGGGGGGGGAGCACTAAAAAATCATTTTTTTTTCGCGAAATTCAATCGAAAAAAAGTTTTTGTAAAATATTAGTGTTTGGGTCCAATATCATTCTCCATAAGTTTCATCTTAGTCCCATGCTCCAAAGTCGAGATATGGCGTATCCAAAAATCCTAGATCCGTCACTGTTTAGGTGATAGTCAATTAATGCTTACAGGAATTTCCAAGAAACTACGGTGGTTGAAGAATTGGAAAGATACTTCTGGATTGAAATATTGAACAATCATTTCAAGTCCAATCTTGGTTAATTTTTAGGTAAGAACTTAGAGACTTTACATATTTTCGATTAAATATATCTACCAAAGTTACAATCTCTTGATTGATTTACTATTTAAAGAAAGAATACTCATTATATGTATGACATTACTCCTTTGGGAGAGATCCTCTTATGAACAGGTCTTCAGATGCGGAGTGTTTTATGATAGAGAGAAGTTTTAAGAGGTGATCACTCAAAGTATTCGAAGAAATTGATCAAAAAAATTAATAGTTTTACTAGACTCTGATGGAATCTTGAAAAACCTTTTTTTTCGATTCGGTTCTGTTCAACTTTTGAAAAATCCGAACCGCACTCATCTCTAATGTACACATCATGAAGTTGAATAACTGAAAATGATTATTCTATTAATTTTTTTTTAAATAATAATTTTTTTATCAATAGCGAGGGTTAAAGTTTATTTAAAAACTATTGCGCGTAATTAAAAACGTATTCTGCCTAAGGGTGTGGGTGAGCGCGGGTGTTGATGTGGGGTGTGGCTGTGGGTGTGGGTTTCTTCATCAAACACACCCACACCCACCTTCTGAAACGGTTTGTCGCTACTCAGAAGTGTTCGTATATTACTCAGAAAATCGAATTTACGAAAACGAAGCATTTTTTGAAAAAAATTTTCGGGGTGAAACACCTGAGCGGCACCCTTGGCTAGATTTTCGAAAAAAGTTTTTCGTAGAAAATGTCTTGAGTTATACGTCATCCGATGCAGTTTTACTCACTGATTCCGAATATCAGATTCATTTTGCGCCACATTGCTATCGAAATGGAGAAAATAGGAATTCTGAGGCAGAAGCCTGGATTTTCGGAAAACTCCTAGCATAGGCTGGATTCATCAGTGCGAGGTGGCGCTAAGCCCAACAATATATCACATGTAGAAGAATAATCGATAAAAATTTCAGATCAATCAGGCTTAAGCTCTTTGTAGAGTTTGCAAAATACGGGATGATCAATTTTCAGAGTGATATCCGGCAAAAGACCTTAATTCTTTTTTTTCGAAAAATACTTATTGTTATATATGATTCGATGCAGCTCGACAAGCTGATTCCGAATATCACTTTGGTTTTGCGCCACAATTCTGCTACAATTGGAAAAAGAGAGATGTAGTGGCAAAAACCTATGTTTTTGGAAGACCTCTAGAATAGCCTGTATTCATCGGCGTGAGGTTGTGCTAAGGTCGACGATAGATCACATATAGAAGAATAATTGGTAAAAGTTTAAGGTCAATCGGACTTAAACTCTTTGTAGGGTTTGCAAAATACGAAATGACCAATTTTCGGAACCCTAACTGTCGCGAGAACCAAGATTTTTTCTCGAAAAACGCTTACTGTTATATATGATTCGATGCAACTCGGCGAGCTGATTCTGAATATCATCTTAGTTTTGCGTCACTATGCTATGGTAATC